CCAGGAGATGTTGAAGTTACATGGCTACTGTAGCCAGAAGATATTGAAGTTACATGGCTACTGTAGCCAGGAGATATTGAAGTTACATGGCCACTGTAGCCAGGAGATATTGAAGTTACATGGCTTCTGTAGCCAGAAGATATTGAAGTTACATGGCTACTGTAGCCAGGAGATATTGAAGTTACATGGCCACTGTAGCCAGAAGATATTGAAGTTACATGCCTACTGTAGCCAGAAGATATTGAAGTTACATGGCTTCTGTAGCCAGGATATATTGAAGTTACATGGCTGCTGCAGCCAAGAGAAATTGAAGTTACATGGCTGCTGTAGCCAGGAGATATTGAAGTTACATGGCTACTGTAGCCAGAAGATATTGAAGTTACATGGCTTCTTTAGCAAGGATATATTGAAGTTACATTGCTACTGTAGCCAAGGGAAATTGAAGTTACATGGCTGCTGTAGCCAGGAGATATTGAAGGTACATGGCTTCTGTAGCCAGGATATATTGAAGTTACATGGCTACTGTAGCCAAGGGAAATTGAAGTTACATGGCTACTGTAGCCAGGAGATATTGAAGTTTCATGGCTTCTTTAGCCAGGATATATTGAAGTTACATGGCTACTGTAGCCAAGGGAAATTGAAGTTACATGGCTGCTGTAGCCAGGAGATATTGAAGTTACATGGCTTCTGTAGCCAGGAGATATTGAAGTTTCATGGCTTCTTTAGCCAGGATATATTGAAGTTACATGGTTACTGTAGCCAAGAGATATTGAAGTTATTTGGCTGCTGTAGCCAGGAGATATTGAAGTTACATGGCTACTGTAGCCAGAATATATTAAAGTTACGTGGCTTCTGTAGCCAGGGGATGTCGAAGTTACATGGCTACTGTAGCCAGGAGATGTTGAAGTTACATGGCTGCTGTAGCCAGGAGATATTGAAGTTACATGGCTTCTGTAGCCAGGATATATTGAAGTTATATGGCTACTGTAGCCAGGAGATGTTGAAGTTACATGTCTTCTGTAGCCAGGGGATATTAAAGTTACATGGCTTCTGTAGCCAGGAGATGTTGAAGTTACATGGCTTCTGTAGCCAGGAGATGTTGAAGTTATATGGCTACTGTAACCAGGAGATGTTGAAGTTATATGGCTACTGTAACCAGGAGATGTTGAAGTTACATCGCTACTGTAGCCAGGAGATGTTGAAGTTATATGGCTACTGTAGCCAGGAGATGTTGAAGTTACATGGCTACTGTAGCCAGGAGATGTTGAAGTTACGTGGCTTCTGTAGCCAGGAGATGTTGAAGTAACGTGGCTTCTGTAGCCAGGAGATGTTGAAGTTATACGGCTACTGTAGCCAGGAGATGTTGAAGTTACATGGCTACTGTAGCCAGCAGATGTTGAAGTTACATGGCTACTGTAGCCAGGAGATGTTGAAGTTATATGGCTATTGTAACCAGGAGATGTTGAAGTTATATGGCTACTGTAACCAGGAGATGTTGAAGTTACATGGCTACTGTAGCCAGGAGATATGCGGAGGAGATTATAAATCAAGTGCAAAACCAGTCACGGTTGAATATGTTTACCTCCTGCTATGAGATCTGCAGTCAGTGTTCTCTGAATCTCAGCTACTTGTGCATCTGAGGCGGCTAAATGATTACTTGAACCACTCAAGCGAAGACAAGTGTGTTCCTTGTGTTTGTGTGTGTGTGCGCGCGCCTGCCTGTATACGTGTCTGTGGGGGAAAGGGGGAGCCGGTGTAACTTTGGCAGGTGCTGCCAGGTAGCACCACTTTCAGGTGCTTGCCTCAGTTCCCGGTAAACAAACCTTCCAGGGGAATGTCGCGGGCGAGTCGGAGGTGGCTGTTGTTGGAACCTAACTGACAGACAACACTAACCTAGTGTCTGACATTTGACAAGATGGGTGAGGAGATTAGCCTTGATTGGCGTTATATTTATCTGTAACACAGCGGCGGAGGGGAGGGGTGGAAGGCCAATTTGCTGTGGGTTTGGGTTTAAAAAAGGGGGCGGGGAAGATTCCGCAGGTTTGTACGAGCTTGGGGCTGGGAAGGAAATGTGGTGTGTGTTTGTCTAGATCCGGGCTTCCCAAACTATTCTACCCGACTCCACTTCTATCTCACAAAACAAATCTTTCAGCTCTCTCTCTCTCCAGGAAAATTGTGTTAACATGTGCCATGTCGATCTGCAGAACCACGGATCAAGTCAGTGCTCTTGTCCCGCCTTATGCTAGGTCCATTAGCAGAATCACGGATCAAGTCAGTGCTCTTGTTCCGCCCAATGCCATGTGGCCAGGTCGTCAATGCATTCAACTCTTTAGTTACCCTGGCCCTCTGTCCACCAATCTGGCTAGTTGTCTCCAAGTTCTCGAGTCTTTTCCTCACCATGAAATATACCTTCTGTAATCGAACACAGGCAACAATGTAATCATAATGTTTGTATCGTCTGACTTCTTGCTCCGGGCTGTAACAGTCATTTTCTTTCTACTTCAGTTCCACAGAAATGTTTGGCAAGTAAACATAGCTCTGAGATAGATGGCACTGCACCAGATTCCCTCAAGTTTCGCCAGTTTCGTTAGCTCTGAGATAAATGGCATTGCACCAAATTCTTTCAAGTTTTGCCAGTTTCTTTAGCTCTGAGACAGATGGCACTGAACCAGATTCGCTGAAGTTTCGCCATTTTAACAGCCTTTCCATTTCTAGCAATGCCCTGGTGATAAACACAGAGTGACACAAAGTGCCAACATTCCGACGAGGATCACCAGACGATACGTCCCAGAAACCTCGTTCAACAGCCCGGTGAAGCTTTAGAACATCAATAAACTGTATCTGACAAAACAATAAATTGTTTGTTTACATTCATTCAGTAATCTTCCTTGATAGTTAATACTGCTTCAGGTTAAGGTTCAGGTTATGGATAGGGTCTGGGTTAGGGTTTAACCTAACCAAAACCATAACTCTATACCCAAACCATAACTCAAACCAGAAGCTATATTAAATATTGGGTTAGTTGCGTATCCTTTACAGGACGTTGCAGAACCAACCCAACAGCTCCTGGCTTTTGTGTGGTTTTTCTAGGCAAATTTACGTCCAGTAGTTTGATATTAAATATTGGAGAACATTATTATGTGCACTACCACAAACAATGGGTCGACATATGTATCTAAAGTATTAGTAACTTGCAGCAGTATTGCGTCCCATAAGGTCACCATGTTATTATGTCCCATAAGGTCACCATGTTATTACGTCCCCTAAGATCACCATGTTATTAAGTCCCCTAAGATCACCATGTTATTACGTCCCCTAAGGTCACCATGTTATTAGGTCCCCTAAGGTCACCATGTTATTACGTCCCTTAAGGCCACCCTGTTATTACGTCCACTAAGGTCACCATGTTATTACGTCCCCTAAGGTCACCATGCTATGATGTCCCCTAAGGTCACCATGTTATTATGTCCCCTAAGGTCACCATGTTATTACGTCCCCTACGGTCACCATGTTATTACGTCCTCTAAGGTCACCATGTTATTACGTCTCCTAAGGTCACCATGTTATTACGTCCCCTAAAGTCGCCATGTTATTACGTCCCCTAAGATCACCATGTTATTACGTCCCCTAAGGTCACCATGTTATTACGTCCCCTAAGATCACCATGTTATTACATCCCCTAAGATCACCATGTTATTACGTTCCCTACGGTCACCATGTTATTACGTCCCCTAATATCACCATGTTATTAAGTCCCCTAAGGTCACCATGTTATTACATCCCTTAAGGTCACCATGTTATTACGTCCCCTAAGGTCGCCATGTTATTACGTCCCCTACGGTCACCATGTTATTACGTCCCCTACGGTCACCATGTTATTACGTCCCCTAAGGTCACCATGTTATTACGTCCCCTAAGGTCACCATGTTATTACGTCCCCTAAGGTCACCATGTTATTACGTCCCCTAAGATCACCATGTTATTAAGTCCCCTAAGATCACCATGTTATTACATCCTCTAAGGTCACCATGTTATTACCTCCCCTACGGTCACCGTGTTATTATGTCCCCTAAGATCACCATATTTTTAAGTCCCCTAAGATCACCATGTTATTACGTCCCCTAAGGTCACCATGTTATTATGTCCCCTAAGGTCACCATGTTATTACGTCCCCTAAGGTCACCATGTTATTATGTCCCCTAAGGTCACCATGTTATTATGTCCCCTAAGGTCACCATGTTATGTCCCCTAAGGTCACCATGTTTTTACGTCCCCTAAGGTCACCATGTTTTTACGTCCCCTAAGGTCACCATGTTATTACGTCCCCTAAGGTCACCATGTTATTACGTCCCCTAAGGTCACCATGTTATTACGTCCCCAAAGGTCACCATGTTATTACGTCCCCTAAGGTCGCCATGTTATTACGTCCCCTAAGGTCACCATGTTATTACGTCCCCAAAGGTCGCCATGTTATTACGTCCCCTAAGGTCACCATGTTATTACGTCCCCTAAGGTCACCATGTTATTACGTCCCCTAAGGTCACCATGTTATTACGTCCCCCAAGATCACCATGTTATTACGTCCCCTAAGGTCACCATGTTATTATGTCCCCTAAGGTCACCATGTTATTACGTCCCCTAAGGTCACCATGTTATTATGTCCCCTAAGGTCACCATGTTATTACGTCCCCTAAGGTCACCATGTTATGTCCCCTAAAGTCACCATGTTTTTACGTCCCCTAAGGTCGCCATGTTATTACGTCCCAAAGGTCACCATGTTATTACGTCCCCTAAGGTCGCCATGTTATTACGTCCCCTAAGGTCGCCATGTTATTACGTCCCCTAAGGTCACCATGTTATTACGTCCCCTAAGGTCGCCATGTTATTACGTCCCCTAAGGTCGCCATGTTATTACGTCCCCTAAGGTCACCATGTTATTACGTCCCCTAAGGTCGCCATGTTCAGGTTTGCCCAGTTCTCCATACAAACGCATCAACCACTTACAGGACATGTTGTGAAGAACCAAATTTTCACTTTCCAGGCCGCTGTTGGCCAGGACAGAAGTTCCCGAGGCCTCCATTTTCTGGCAGGTCCACTCCTTGCAGCAATTGTCCTTGACCTGGCGAAGTTTTGGCTCGTGACAGGTCAATTCTGGAAGACAAGAAGACCGTTAGATGTGTACCCTTGGAAGATTTCATTGTGAATACCAGATGATACACACAGGGTGACACAGGACATAAGCAGCCAGAGCTCATACAAACAACACAGAGCTCACACAAACAACACAGGGCTCACACAAACAATACAGGGCTCACACAAACAACACAGGGCTCACACAAACAATACAGGGCTCACACAAACAATACAGGGCTCACACAAACAACACAGGGCTCACACAAACAACACAGGGCTCACACAAACAACATAGGGCTCACACAAACAATACAGGGCTCACACAAACAACACAGGGCTCACACAAACAACACAGGGCTCACACAAACAACACAGGGCTCACACAAACAACACAGGGCTCACACAAACAACACAGGGCTCACACAAACAACACAGGGCTTAGACAAACAACACAGGACTCACATAAACAACACAGGGCTCACATAAACAACACAGGGCTGACACAAACAACACAGGGCTGACACAAACAACACAGGGCTGACACAAACAACACAGGGCTCACACAAACAAAACAGGGCTCACACAAACAACACAGGGCTCACATAAACAACACAGGGCTCACACAAACAACACAGGACTCACATAAACAACACAGGGCTCACACAAACAACACAGGGCTGAAACAAACAACACAGGGCTCAGACAAACAAAACAGGGCTCACACAAACAACACAGGGCTCACATAAACAACACCAGACTTACACCCGCCATATGCAGGACACAAATAGAACGCATTGGCTGGCACATGTATTTACCCATCCCCACACTTGTATCAGTTTTGACTGTTCGTCCGTTTATCTGTAACCTGTATTCATATCTCCATGTTGTGAGAATACACGCTCCAAAGACATGCCTTCCGATACGACACTTCTGGCTGCGGCGGTGGCCCAGGGAACAGACGCTTGATTGTCGACCCACAGGACTGGGTTCTAATCCGCATCCGAGCGGATGTTTTAAAATGAAACCTTAATTTTAAATTTCAAGCCAGACACAGGTCACCTGAAGATGTGACGGTGACCGATGTCGTGTTGCCCCCATGCTTCCTCCAGTGTTGCCCCTATGCCCCCCCCCCCTTTCCAGTGTTCATTCGTCTATACAACTGTCTCCTAAGCACCATACAGCCAGTGCTGACATGGGGCGGAGCGGGTCGTAAACTTGTCCTGTAGACGTTAAAGCGTTGTCCTGTAGCCGTCCGCATCAGGCTTACCTCGTCTCAGACATGACCACCAGGGTTAGAGAGAACTTTCCTGCATGCAGTCATGATCGCTGAGCTCAGGTCTGCAGTCAGGATCGCTGACTCGTCTCAGACATGACAACAAGCAGAGTTAGAGAGAAACTGATCCTGTAGACGTCTGCAGTCAGGATCGCTGACTCGTCTCAGACATGACAACAAGCAGAGTTAGTGAGAAACTGATTCTGTAGACATCTGCAGTCAGGATCGCTGACTCGTCTCAGACATGACAACAAGCAGAGTTAGAGAGAAACTGATCCTGTAGACGTCTGCAGTCAGGATCGCTGACTCGTCTCAGACATGACAACAAGCAGAGTTAGTGAGAAACTGATCCTGTAGACGTCTGCAGTCAGGATCGCTGACTCGTCTCAGACATGACAACAAGCAGAGTTAGAGAGAAACTGATCCTGTAGACGTCTGCAGTCAGGATCGCTGACTCGTCTCAGACATGACAACAAGCAGAGTTAGAGAGAAACTGATCCTGTAGACGTCTGCAGTCAGGATCGCTGACTCGTCTCAGACATGACAACAAGCAGAGTTAGAGAGAAACTGATCCTGTAGACGTCTGCAGTCAGGATCGCTGACTCGTCTCAGACATGACAACAAGCAGAGTTAGTGAGAAACTGATCCTGTAGACGTCTGCAGTCAGGATCGCTGACTCGTCTCAGACATGACAACAAGCAGAGTTAGTGAGAAACTGATCCTGTAGACGTCTGCAGTCAGGATCGCTGACTCGTCTCAGACATGACAACAAGCAGAGTTAGTGAGAAACTGATCCTGTAGACGTCTGCAGTCAGGATCGCTGACTCGTCTCAGACATGACAACAAGCAGAGTTAGTGAGAAACATCCTGTAGACGTCTGCAGTCAGTGACTCGTCTCAGTGAGTTAGTGAAACTGATCCTGTAGACGTCTGCAGTCAGGATCGCTGACTCGTCTCAGACATGACAACAAGCAGAGTTAGTGAGAAACTGATCCTGTAGACGTCTGCAGTCAGGATCGCTGACTCGTCTCTCAGACATGACAACAAGCAGAGTTAGTGAGACGCTTCCCCGTCTAAACTGATCCTGTAGACGTCTGCAGTCAGGATCGCTGACTCGTCTCAGACATGACAACAAGCAGAGTTAGTGAGAAACTGATCCTGTAGACGTCTGCAGTCAGGATCGCTGACTCGTCTCAGACATGACAACAAGCAGAGTTAGTGAGAAACTGATCCTGTAGACGTCTGCAGTCAGGATCACTGACTCGTCTCAGACATGACAACAAGCAGAGTTAGAGAGAAACTGATCCTGTAGACGTCTGCAGTCAGGATCGCTGACTCGTCTCAGACATGACAACAAGCAGAGTTAGAGAGAAACTGATCCTGTAGACGTCTGCAGTCAGGATCGCTGACTCGTCTCAGACATGACAACAAGCAGAGTTAGTGAGAAACTGATCCTGTAGACGTCTGCAGTCAGGATCGCTGACTCGTCTCAGACATGACAACAAGCAGAGTTAGAGAGAAACTGATCCTGTAGACGTCTGCAGTCAGGATCGCTGACTCGTCTCAGACATGACAACAAGCAGAGTTAGTGAGAAACTGATCCTGTAGACGTCTGCAGTCAGGATCGCTGACTCGTCTCAGACATGACAACAAGCAGAGTTAGTGAGAAACTGATCCTGTAGACGTCTGCAGTCAGGATCACTGACTCGTCTCAGACATGACAACAAGCAGAGTTAGTGAGAAACTGATCCTGTAGACGTCTGCAGTCAGGATCGCTGACTCGTCTCAGACATGACAACAAGCAGAGTTAGTGAGAAACTGATCCTGTAGACGTCTGCAGTCAGGATCGCTGACTCGTCTCAGACATGACAACAAGCAGAGTTAGTGAGAAACTGATCCTGTAGACGTCTGCAGTCAGGATCGCTGACTCGTCTCAGACATGACAACAAGCAGAGTTAGTGAGAAACTGATTCTGTAGACGTCTGCAGTCAGGATCACTGACTCGTCTCAGACATGACAACAAGCAGAGTTAGAGAGAAACTGATCCTGTAGACGTCTGCAGTCAGGATCGCTGACTCGTCTCAGACATGACAACAAGCAGAGTTAGTGAGAAACTGATCCTGTAGACGTCTGCAGTCAGGATCACTGACTCGTCTCAGACATGACAACAAGCAGAGTTAGAGAGAAACTGATCCTGTAGACGTCTGCAGTCAGGATCGCTGACTCGTCTCAGACATGACAACAAGCAGAGTTAGAGAGAAACTGATCCTGTAGACGTCTGCAGTCAGGATCGCTGACTCGTCTCAGACATGACAACAAGCAGAGTTAGTGAGAAACTGATTTAGGGTTTCCAGACGTTTCCTATTCCCCTGATTCTTGCCTAGTTTTCGTCTAAAATGTGTTCCAATGTTTACTGTTTATCTAGAATAGTTAACTATTCCCCTCCCCCCTCTCTCTCTCACTGTCTATCTCTCTCTCTCACTATCTCTCTCTCTCTATCTATCTATCTATCTATCTATCTATCTATCTATCTATCTATCTATCTATCTATCTATCTATCTATCTATCTATCTATCTATCTATCTATCTATCTATCTATCTATCTATCTATCTATCTATCTATCTATCTATCTATCTATCTATCTATCTATCTATCTATCTATCTATCTATCTATCTATCTATCTATCTATCTATCTATCTATCTATCTATCTATCTATCTATCTATCTATCTATCTATCTATCTATCTATCTATCTATCTATCTATCTATCTATCTATCTATCTATCTATCTATCTATCTATCTATCTATCTATCTATCTATCTATCTATCTATCTATCTATCTATCTATCTATCTATCTATCTATCTATCTATCTATCTATCTATCTATCTATCTATCTATCTATCTATCTATCTATCTATCTATCTATCTATCTATCTATCTATCTATCTATCTATCTATCTATCTATCTATCTATCTATCTATCTATCTATCTATCTATCTATCTATCTATCTATCTATCTATCTATCTATCTGTGGCACAGTCGTGCCTATACATCCCCCAAGAAATAGATGTGCCTAAGTCGGCCAAGTGGAATGAATATGGTTCGTATCTCTCTTCAATCGTACTCAAGAACAAGGCCAGTGATGTAATCACTTTCATAAGAGCTGGTTTATTCATAATATTCTCGTCACACACATTTCATAAATTCAATAAGCAATAGTATATGAACACTCCTTATTACTGGCTATTCGTATGCCTCTACGAGTTCCTTAACCACTGTTCTGGCTAAACTCCAAGTTTAACATATACCTTCTAAACGAAGTAAAGCACTAGTTTTCTCCTAACCGGTTTCTCTAGCGGTCTAGCCCTAACTGTCTTCTCATGGCGGTTCCGGGGCTAACTAACTGTTCTAGCTAAACTCCAAGTTTAACATATACCTCCTAACGAAGTACAGCACTAGTTTTCTCCTAACCAGGTTCTCTAGCGGTCTAGCCCTAACTGTCCTCTCCAGCGGTTCCGGGACTAACTCACTGTTCTAGTTAAACTCTAAGTTTAACATATCCTTCTAAACGAAGTAAAGCACTAGTTTTCTCCTAACCGGTTTCTCTAGCGGTCTAGCCCTGTCTTCTCATGGCGGTTCCGGGGCTAACTGTCCTCTCCAGCGGTTCCGGGACTAACTGTCCTCTCCAGCGGTTCCGGGACTAACTGACTTCTCAAGCCCCTGGCTCTGACTTTATTCC